AGAGAGAGAGAGAGAGAGAGCGAGAGAGAGAGAGAGATATCATCGTAACCTTTTTAATCAGGATGCTGATGTTCACATGACAGAAACATGGCCTGCGATCAAAAGCTTTTTTTGTTCCGAATTTTTTATTTATTTTTTTACATTTCACCTTCAGAAATCTTGTCGCCTCACAACGAGTTGATAAAGACAAACGGATGACAAAAGCAAACATGGCATGTTTCCAGATCAGGGTCAGCAAGAAGGGTTGATGAAATGCTGTTGTGATAAAACTCACTCAGAGAATAAGAGAAACATTCACCTCTAGGATTTATTTTTAAGGTTAGTCACAGAGTCAAGTTGGTGTGTAGGTCCAAAGTGGTAAAACTATTCTAACCTGGTGGTTCTTAATGTTAACGCTAGGCTACTTGAGGTTAAAACACCAAGTGGGGGGTCTTGAGAAAATCTAGAGAAATAATTAACGGCCTTATAAGAAGCATTTGTACAGTACTTTAGCAAAAGCCAGGGTCATGAGTCACTGCACGTTTWATCTTAAGATGTTGCAGGATCTGTCTGTTCTAGTTCTTTATGATATTTTTAGTTTCTCTCAAATGTTCAGTTTCTAATTTAGAATAAAACTGCAGACTAAATTGTTTTTTAAACAAAAGTTTTACAATCATCCTGGTTCGGATGTTTTTGTTTTTCTGATCACAGCTGTAAATACAGAGTCTGATGATTATCGAGTTAAAAAATAAAGTTGACAAAAGTTGTCTTTAGCCTCTGATAGACAAGTGACATATGTGGTTAAATAAATTGTTGTGGGTTTAGAGTTCATTTATTGTGGGTCTATCCAACCCTGATTCGTGCTTTCACTGTGGTTTCTGCAGCTGAGCTGCAACAATTACCAGTCTGGGTGTTACTCTGTGCTCTCCAAGAGGGAAAAAACACATTTTCACAGCCTGCGGTGTGATTCGCCACTTAAAACCAGATGAAATTAGTCTGGAATGGATTTAGGCAGCCACTCAGACATAATGAGCTCCATATTATTGGCATAAATTCAATCAATGCCATAACCTGATGGTGGTCCAAACTGACAGACCCTCCTTCAGACGTGACTCTGGAGTCCAACCTTTAAGTCACGTTTTGTTGACGGTAAATCTCAGATCAGTCTGAATAATGAACATGTGTAGCAGCACCTCATAAATTAGTACCAAAGTTTCAGACAAACYGATAAAGATCCCAACATTTTACGCTGGACTGTTATTCTTAGTGTTATCACGTGCCAGTGCCACCATGAAAGGCTACAGCTGAGATAAGTAGTGAGCTAAAATTTGGTGTGACAGTGGCTGAGACTCATTCCAAACACATTCTCCAAGCAGTACTTGTAACAGAACAAGGAAAAATCTTTYTTTAAAGCTAAGTGCAAACTCCCGGCATTGAGGCTGAATCTTATTTTGTACTCCTACACCTACCTCCGTCTCTGATTTGACGTCAGTGCAACTTTTCAGGTGTAATGTTTCATCTAACTGCAATAAACACTGATATACAAGGTTAATGTTTAAGCTTGCCAATAAAGACACTGAATGGAACACATGGCAACACACTAAACTAGATGTTTGTTGACCAATAAACAAACTGAATGTCAAACTAGAGAATTTGGTGTGAATGCTTAATGCTGAAAGAGTTTTGCTAAAAGCTGAAGTCAAGCTGAAAAGGTTTATTGGCAAATCTGTTCATGTGAGTTCAATTTGAACAGCTGACGTTTGCGGAGAGCATGAAATCAAAAGTGAAAAATCAATAGGAAAACAGCAAAAATATTTTAAAACAGCTGAACAGAGCAGAAATTTAACTAACTTTAGCAGAAAACTACTGTAACTATTTGCAAAAAAGTAGCTTAAAACGCAGGAAAAAGTTGAAACTACCAGAAAGAGGTGCAAGAAGCAAAACAGAGGTGAATTTATAAAGAAAATATAAAAAAGAATAAAGCTGAAATTTAAACAAAAAAAGTCAAACAAGAAGAAAAATGACCCAAAAATAACCTGTGACCTTTATCTTTTATTTTGCAACCTTGCAGTAGAGGTCATCATTGAACGAACACATAATGTATTTGCTAAATTAGGCAAAAAAGCTGAAAAGACCACTAAAATAAATATATCTAAATAAAACTCAATTTAGCAAAAAAACAACTAAATACTAGTTGAAAAGGCAGAAAAATGTGAAAACAGCAGAATAACGATAAAGGAGCTGAAAGGAGCATAAAAAGCTTAAATTAACTGCAAGAAGTCAAAAGACAAAAACAAAAGAAGTTGAAAGGAGTTGAAGATTAGTTGAAAGAGCTGAAAACAGCTAAAATGTGCAAAAAAGTACCTGAAGGTAGGGCTGCGCGTATATGCTGTAGACGGCAGAAACGGTGTGAAGTTGGCCTACGGTAGAAATTTACCCTCTACTGTCCTGTCGTCATTACATCATCGCACCTGTGTCAGCAGGGCTGCGAGTGCAGAGACAACTGAGCAGGAGTTCAAAATATAATGAAGAAATTATAGTGTTTTAAAACACGTATAGAGAGAATAAATCCTCAAAATTTCCTCCTCCCGCTGTAGAAAAGTTACGTCATGTCGCAGGATCATTTCCTCCCCCCCCTCCTCTCCTCTCCTCTCCTCTCCTCTCCTCTCCTCCCGCTGCACGTCGTGCAGCGCGAAGCTTTAACAACCGTAGTTTTTTCACACCCGTGTTTTGGGAGAAAAAAAAGTTTTTTATGTATTGTTACCCACAGAGATGATAAAAAAGACGTGGACGTTTGTTCAGTCATAAACCCATCTTGCTAATTTTAAGTTGGCTTCAGCTCTGATGATGAAGATGATGAAGATGAGAGTGGAGCAGAGCAGCAGCTGATAAGTTCAGCAGGCAGAAGCTCATTGTTTAGCAGGCAGATATTAAAACAAAAATGCTGGGTTTAATAAAGATTACAGTTTTCTGCAAAAAAAACCTCTAAAAATGACATTATCTTAAATTTTTATGATCATTTTCTACCGCGATATATACATTACCGTGAAGGGGTTCATTTTATACTGTGATATGAATTTGAGGTCATACCACCCAGCCCTACTTGAAGGAATTTGAAATTAGCATAAAGAAGATAAAAAAACTGAACCAGAACAAAAGGTGAATAGTGCGGTGAAGATCTATAAACACTTTAAAGGGTTTTAAGGATGTTGAAGACAGACACATTAATTAATATTAATAGCAAAAAATGGCAGAAAATGCTAAATATCTCAAAAAGTATAAATTGCTGAAATACCAAAACTCATAGCTGGAATGTCCTGAAGGAGCTGAACATGCTGARACATAAATTGTTGAAATAACACAAACAAAATGAGATAGATGCCACAAAATGAACATAAAAAAATAAACCTCAATGCTGTGAYTGCCTTATAAGCATTCAAAAAAAGAAAAATCCTTGGTAGTCCTACATCGTTGCCCACTAAAACACATAAGGTTGGGGCACCCCTCCCCTCAGTGTGAAGATGTAAAACACAGAGACGGGGTAGAGGGGCAAGAGGTCAGAAAATCTGGTCACCCACCTCCCACTTGACTGATCTTATTAGTGATGGCGTATCTCAGTATCCGCTCCTCCTTGACATACATCACAAACACCCTCTCCATGGTGATCTGCAGGGTCTCTGGGACGCCGGCGCGGTTGTGGTGGCGACAGTCGCGGTAGGTGATGTTCTGTTTCAGGTGGAAGGTGAAGGACTCGGAGCCTCGCTCTGCTGAAACCACCGTAAACTCCCTCACAGAGGTGGAGGTGATGACTGGGAGAAGCAAACAGAGAGAGAGTGAGACACGTTTGAGACCTCAGTTTTCAGGGACGTCTGGAGTATTGGTACTCTGTGTACCCGATGGGTAGTACTGGTAGATCTCCTTGAAGGGCTCCATGGTAACTTCAGCTCCAGGCGGCAGCAAAGGCACGTTTCCATTGATGACAGTATCCACTCGGAGGTGGTTGTGCTCGTCGAGGCCGTGGCCCYTTTGAACGATTGACAGGCGCTGGTTTCCAGGGTTAAACAGCACCTCYACATGACGGCTGAACTCAGCACCTGGTAACACAACGACTCAACGAATCAGCCACTCAGTGGTTCGGATGATCGTGCTACACTTTCATACCACAATGGTGCAGCAGTCGCAAGAGGGAAAAAGTGGAAAATCTGTTTTCAGACACAAACGCAGCTGTTTCCTATTAGAGACTGGAGGTGGAAGCCTCGTATTGCATCATGTCCCCCAGAGACAAAACAGCTGGCTGAGCGACTAAAAACACTCAGGAAGACACAGAATGTCCTCAAGACAGAGGAGCTTGTGTCCCTGCAGATGTTCAGTCAAGATGTCCAAGACAGCAGATTAGTTAATGTACAGTTAAAAAAACAAGCTCACCTGTGACTTTAAAACCTGCTTGGCTGTTGGGCAGCTCCAACGCAAAGAGCCATCCYAAAAGTTCTCCAATCGGTGAAACTGGCATCAGGGCCCAGCCCACGGGTTCAGGAACCTGACCAACAAGTTCCATTAAGCAAGTCTTTTTTTAATTTGACAACAATTTAAATAAATAAACATTCAAATTATCCCACCTGTGATCAATTTCATGTACAGTCAGGAAAAATTTAATATCTGTCTTTCATTCCTCTAACTTTAGGACAATCACTCAAGAATTAGGAAAACACTGGGGGTGTAACAGCACACTTCAGTCACGTTTCGGTACAGGTTCAGTGCAAAAAGAAAAAGAAACAATCGCTACTTCTTAATCACTTACACACAATAACTCCTCCAGAAGCAAGGACAAACTCCCGAAAGGCATATCTTAAGAAGATWTTACTAAAATTAATCTTACTTTGATTTAAAGCACAATAAAAAGCAACAGAACTGCGCAGTATCTTTCTAGGACGTGAAACACTCAAACTTCTCATCTACCTGAGTGTTAGCGTGAAAAAAGTTAGGTTTGATATCAGCGTTGTTGAATATAAAGAACAGCACTTTTCAAAGTGTCACTTACATGATACAACTGCTTGCCATACCTGCACCTCTCGTTTCTACTGCAGCTGTCTGAGATAAGGTTTACCCCCACAGCTGAGGGGAACTAAAGTGTTTGCTTTGTTTGGTGTAGAAT